TTGGTATACAATACACGAAGCACCAAGGAGACGATGCAGCATGTTTACTTGGACGGTTGGTATACAGAACACGATCAATCAAAGAGATGTGTCAGCATGTTTACTTTGTCGGTTGGTATACAATACACGATCCATCAAAGAGACGTGTCAGCATGTTTACTAGGTCGGTTGGTATACAGAACACGATCCATCAAAGAGACGTGTCAGCATGTTTACTAGGTCGGTTGGTACACAGAACACGATCCATCAAAGAGATGTGGCAGCATGTTTACTTTGTCGGTCGGTATACAGAACGCGATACATCGAAGAGATGTGTCAGCATGTTTACTAGATCGGTTGGTATACAGAACACGATCCACCAAAAAGGTTGTGTCAGCATGTTTACTAGGGCGGTTGGTATACAGAATACGATCCATCAAAGAGATGCGGCAGCATGTTAACTAGGTCGGTTGGTATACAGAACACGATCCATCAAAGAGATGCGGCAGCATGTTTACTAGTTCGGTTGGTATACAGAACACGATCCATCAAAGAGATGTGGCAGCATGTTTACTTTGTCGGTTGGTATACAGAGCACGATCCATCAAAGAGATGTGGCAGCAATATGTTTACTTTGTCGGTTGGTATACAGAACGCGATACATCAAAGAGATGTGTCAGCATGTTTACTAGATCGGTTGGTATACAGAACACGATCCACCAAAAAGGTTGTGTCAGCATGTTTACTAGGGCGGTTGGTATACAGAATACGATCCATCAAAGAGATGCGGCAGCATGTTAACTAGGTCGGTTGGTATACAGAACACGATCCATCAAAGAGACGTGGCAGCATGTTTACTAGGTCGGTTGGTATACAGAACACGATCCACCAGAGAGATGTGGCAGCATGTTTTCTAGGTCGGTTGGTATATACTAAAGATATGTTGATTCCTTATTTGAATACACATTAAAACCAAATAAAATACAATATTATCCATTATCATTTTGCTTTGATCATTTAGTTTTGTTTGTTTCTAGAAAGAAAACATTACCAAAGTGGCAAACTGTAATTCGAACTTAAAATCGAGAATACTTGCTGTAGGGCAATATATAATCAAAGTAAAATATGGTGTGAGGGGACCTTGAAAGTTCTGGCAGGGTGCACCGTCTTCCGCTTCTAGATTCATTTCATTAGCAAACGACATTTTATATTGGCTGTGTCATAGGTTTAAGGGCCTAACATTCAGCTGAACGCTGCGTTCACAAAAATAAAGATCGTTCAGATTTTTGTATACTATATTAAAACCCCATAATAACCACAATCGATTGTTTGCTACTCAAAAATACACATTTTACAATATGCTGTTATTAAGATCACTTGCAATGATCATTTTCAAGTGAAATGGAAGGTTATTGATGACAAGTTAACTTGTTGCACACTATAGAGCTTGTATATACAGACTAGAGTTGTGTAACGTAACCTGTGCTTACCCTGTTACAGAAAGGAGTTGTGTAGGGTAATCCGTCTTGACCTGTTACATACTAGATTTGTGTAGGGTAATCCGTCTTTACCTGTTACATACTATAGTTGTGTAGGGTAATCCGTCTTTACCTGTTACATACTAGAGTTGTGTAGGATAATCCGTCTTTACCTGTTACACACTAGATTTGTGTAGGGTAATCCGTCTTGACCTGTTACATACTAGAGTTGTGTAGGATAAACCGTCTTTACCTGTTACACACTAGATTTGTGTAGGGTAATCGGTCTTTACCTGTTACATACTAGATTTGTTTAAGGTAACCCGTCTTTACCTGTTACATACTAGATTTGTGTAGGAAAACCAATGTTTACCTGTTACAGACTAGAGTTGTGTAGGATAAAACGTCTTTACCTGTTACACACTAGATTTGTGTAGGGTTATCCGTCTTTACCTGTTACATACTAGATTTGTTTAAGGTAACCCGTCTTTACCTGTTACATACTAGATTTGTTTAAGGTAACCCGTCTTTACCTGTTACATACTAGATTTGTGTAGGATAACCCGTGTTTACCTGTTACATACTAGAGTTTTGTAGGATAACCCGTGTTTACCTGTAACATACTAGAGTTGTGTAGGATAGCCCGTGTTTACCTGTAACATACTAGAGTTGTGTAGGATAGCCCGTGTTTACCTGTAACATACTAGAGTTGTGTAGGATAACACGTGTTTACCTGTTACATACTAGAGTTTTGTAGGGTATCCCGTGTCTACCTGTTACATACTAGAGTTTTGTAGGGTATCCCGTGTCTACCTGTTACATACTAGAGTTTTGTAGGGTATCCCGTATCTACCTGTTACATACTAGAGTTTTGCAGGGTATCCCGTATCTACCTGTTACAGACTAGAGTTGTGTAGGGTATCCCGTGTTTACCTGTTACATACTAGAGTTTTGTAGGATAACCCGTGTTTACCTGTTACATACTAGAGTTTTGTAGGGTATCCCGTATCTACCTGTTACAGACTAGAGTTGTGTAGGGTAACCCATGTTTACCTGTTACAGACTAGAGTTTTGTAGGATAACCCGTGTTTACCTGTAACATACTAGAGTTGTGTAGGATAACCCGTGTTAACCTGTAACATACACGAGTTGCGAAGGGTACCCCGTGTTTACCTGTTACATACTAGATTTGTGTAGGATAACCCGTGTTTACCTGTTACATACTAAAGTTGTGTAGCATAACCAGTGTTTACCTGTTACATACTAGAGTTTTGTAGGGTATCCCGTGTTTACCTGTTATCGACTAGAGTTGTGTAGGGTAACCAGTGTTTACCTATTACAGACTAGAGTTGTGTAGGAAAACCCTTGTCTACCTGTTACAGACTAGAGTTGTGTAGGATAACCCGTGTTTACCTGTTATATACTAGAGTTGTGTAGAGTATCCCGTGTTTACCTGTTACATACTAGAGTTGTGTAGGTAGCCCGTGTTTAGCTGTTACATAATAGAGTTGTTTAGGGTATCCCGTGTTTATCTGTTATAGACTAGAGTTGTGTAGGATAACCAGTGTTTACCTGTTACATACTAGAGTTGTGTAGGATAACCCGTGTTTTTCTGTTACAGACTAGAGTTGTGTAAGGTAACCCGTGTTTACCTGTTACATACTAGAGTTTTGTAGGCTATCCCTTGTTTACCTGTTACATACTAGAGTTGTGTAGGATAAACCGTATTTACCTGTTACATACTAGAGTTGAGTAGGATAACACTTGTTTACCTGTTACAGACTAGAGTTGTGTAGGATAACCCGTGTTTACCTGTTACATACTAGAGTTTTGTAGGGTATCCCGTATCTACCTGTTATAGACTAGAGGTGAGTAGGATAACCCGTGTTTACCTGTTACATACTAGAGTTGTGTAGGATAATCCGTATTTACCTGTTAAATACTAGAGTTGAGTAGGATAACACTTGTTGAACTGTTACAGACTAGAGTTGTGTAGGATAACCTGTGTTTACCTGTTGCATACTAGAGTTTTGTAGGGTATCCCGTATCTACCTGTTACAGACTAGAGTTGTGTAGGGTAACCAGTGTTTACATGTTACATACTAGAGTTGTGTAGGGTAGCCCGTGTTTACCTGTTACATACTAGAGTTGTTTAGTGTATCCCGTGTTTAGCTGTTACATACTAGAGTTGTGTAGGATAACCAGTGTTTACCTGTTACATACTAGAGTTGCATGGGGTAACCCGTGTTTTTCCTTTTACATACTAGAACTGTGTGGGGTAACCCGTATTTACCTATTTAGCATTTTACTTTCACTTCTCGTAAAGTGGTTTTTGAGTTTGAAAAGACCCGGATGTGGGTTAAACACATTTTAAAACGAGACACACCACGCACTCTCGTGAAGTCTGGCCCTGTTATGTCATAAGGAAGTTATACTGTCATGGTTGTATAACTTATTGAATTAAGCCAATCATATGTTTGTCAATACAAGGCGGTATGCTAATACAAGTTAATCTGCATGAATAAACTGCTAGCTAAGCGGTTTATGTGTGTGGGACTGTTTACACGTCTGGTTTAGGTAATACATTACGTCTGTGTAGGGGAAGGATTAAGTGACCCTACTCACGTTAGGGGAAGTAGTTACAGACCTGGCTTTGTTTTGTTGCTATTACATACCTATATTGATATATATGTCGTTACCTGTCTGGGAAATAACGATATCACAAAGATTTTCACCTTGCTAAATCCTTTAATCATAATTTTGACTTACAATTACGATGCAGAGGACTAGCTGATAAAACGTCAGTCAATTAAGCTTGTAAGCAAATATATCGAATACATTTAGGCGAACATCCTGGTTTAATAATTTACTGAATCTCATTTGTAACACACACACACACACCTGTATTGTAGTTATTTTAACACTACCTGTAGGCTACTTTTAATGTTAGTGATTGAACACTGTATTAAGATTCTTTCACATTTTATGATGTGAATGTAGCCTTGACCTTTGTACACACATGCCCCACCCGCTGCAAACGGGACATATGTAATCCAATCACACGGGCCGTCAGCAGACACGACATCCATTGTAAATGGGTTATTGTCCCTCTCAAACATTATTGGACTCAAGTAGTCTTACCTAGGCTAACCGTTGTAGGTTCTTGGCACATGTATCCAGCGAAAGTTATTTAAGAGGCAGACATGGTTGTTTACGCCCATGAACCTATATTTAGTTGGCTCTGTTTGAAGTTTAAAATAATCGGTTTTCTTTAATCTATTACATGTCAACTGCCATTTCTCCAAATTTAAAGTTCCGTGTACTTTATCAGATTTGTTTGTGGTCATTTTAATTTCTAATGGATGTTTATTTACTATTCAAATACAAAATATATACATTAATGAAAAATGTCATTAAGCGTAGCATACTTTTGGGTGATACAGCAGTGTGTATGCCAAAGGCCTTTCATTAACTATAAACATAAGACGCCCCTTGCTCTGTGTTCGTGACACATATAGACAACAAACAATGTGACACCAGGTGGACGTGAGATCGTTTTAATACAGACATCACTGAAGCGTATCCCGTCAACATTTTACACACTCATTAAATGGATTCATTATAATATCCTATGATACACCTGCCTTTGATGGTTATGTATGCGTCGTCTGTAACGCTTCAAAGATCTGATTTTTAAATTATCTCAAATGGAATCTCATTTCCAGAATGACGAATAGTTAAACGTTTAGATCCTGATGACATATTCCCCTACAAAAGCACACACACAGTCACTTTCCACTCTGTGTATCCATATCTCCAATCACATACGTCTAGATGCTTAGTGTTGGCCACTCGGGAATTTTCCTGTTAATTTCCTACGACATTTGCGGTATTCTTACCACAGAACGAAAAATCTTAATTGTAGACATAGCAGAAATGGTTGACTTAACCACAATGGTTCGTTCCCTGTACATTCTTTACCAGCCGAAGTCCACAGCGGTCAACCTCGGGAGGATCCGTGACAAACAGTCAAGTACGACGACAATGCTAACACACATTGTACTCTGTGTTTTGTAAACAAGAATATATTGTTTGATTGAAAGATTCGCTAATTAAAACATTTTAGGGAATGATTTGCAGATGTGACAATCGACTTTCCCTATCAATCATGTCTGATGTTAAGAGTGTGCACACTATGTTTGTCAACGACGCAATTCCTTGTGTACTGAAACAACAACAGTCTCAGATTGTTCACTTGAGAACATTGTCATGAGGAATAGAAGTAGCACACTGCATATTGACAACTCATTTGAAGTAAAAGCGGAATTGATATTCTGATCAAAGTCTGATGAAATGGCTAGGTACATGGAAAAGTATCAAGACATATTTGACAATACTTAATCAAATAAGACCATTGTAATTCGTCCTTTTCATGCATGACTTTGTATACCTGATATGCCAATGTCCCCGTTATTCCCACCCATCAAACCCATCTATAACCCTGTTTTTATACCTGGTAGAAGATTGTCCCCACTGTTCCAACCCATCAAACCCATCTATGACTCTGTATACCTGGTTTTATATTGTCCCCACTGTTCCCACCCAGCATACCCATCTATGACTCTGTATACCTGGTATTATATTGTCCCCACTGTTCCCACCCATCATACCCATCTATGACTCTGTATACCTGGTATTAGAATGTCTCCGTTTAACAGTTCCCCGTTCAATATATCCCCGTTCGTTAAATGCCCATTGCTGAGTCCGCTATAACCGTTCATTAATCCGCTGTTTACGAGATTTACATTCTGTATCACATCGTCACTATCATCCATCTTATCTCTGTTGTACCTTGGCAAGAATATCTGGGAGGCTCCAGGTCCATCGGGATCATGAGTAGACTTGTTGCCAGTCTTTGAGGAGGCTGCTTGTTTGTCCGATTTCCGTTTCTGGATTCTATTGGTTGTGAAGGTCCGAGCAGTGAATTCCATGCTAGTCCGGTACCATTTCCGACACTCGTCTATATGGTAATCCACACAGGAGGCGAATGTCTTGTATGGACGTTTGGGGAATATTACCAATGTCTCGGAGAAATACTTTGGTTTCACTTTAGGCTCATAATACGTGTGGCTTACAAATCTTTTCTTGGTACAGTTACTAAACAGGATGATAGTGTCTTTGTAGTGAACAGGTTCCATTGTAGGCTCCATGTGTACTTCACCATGATATCGCTTCATGCTGTCGTAGTTGAGTGTACTGACGTCGTACTTTTCCTCGAAGTTAGGCAGTTTCACTACAGTTAATGTCTCTTCCACGTGGTCAGGCGTCAACCTCATGATGTTTAGGTAGATAGATGTACAGAGGCTGCCCTTGTTTGATCCTGGTGCAGAGGTATACGACGATGGTGTGCGGCACGTTTGCCCCCTCGGGCGTCAGAATGACAATACACTCACAGCAAGCCAAATAAGTCCTTTATCTATCTCGTCCCGCTCTCAGGTGTGTATCACAGTGGTACACTCACAGACAGACTAGGCCACGATCGACTTTCACTAATATCCTGGTTCTCTGTTAACGACTGGCCCGTTCCTCCGGGACAGGTTCCTGAATCAACGTGCTTTACGTTAATGTTAAAAGGCAGACGACTTAATGTTATACAGAATGGTGACAGCAAGAAGGGTAGGAATCGGTTCTCCACACGTGTGAAAAGACTTTCAATGACAGGACCCAGCTCTGGCGGGACCGTGGCACAACATTTATGTCCGGAATGTGCAAATCACTTGGTGGTTATGACTGATACAATGCAGGTATTCAGGTCGGCGCTGTAGTCGTATCGATCCTTGTCGCCCCTCGATCACTTGTGGAAGACTGACTTACACACGACTGTATCTCCACCCGCCACAGCTGTATCACGTTATACTTCGGATGGAAGTTAATAATTCAACAACATCCCGGTCTTTATTTGTAGCTGGGTTTTAAATTAATCTGATGATTGGCTTTGTATTGTTACCATACAATGGGACTACGGTGTTTAATGTGTAGCCGTCTCTCATTTCACTATTTCACAGGTAATGTGTATATTACAGTGACGACCGCTTCTATTGGCTATACATACCTATCCGTTCCTCAGGTAATAACAACTATAAACACAGCTGAGAAGTCGTGTTTACATACTCCATAGCTTTAACATATAAGTACACAATATCATCTTAAGTCAGATCTATCCAGCGAAGCAAAACACCGAAGAAACTATTTGAATAGCAAACGCGATGCTATGATGTAAGACATATGACTATACAAAAGGATTAATAAATAAATTCATCATTTAGCTTTGTGGGAACCTCGATGTTTTCCTCCACTCGGTAACACTGAGACTTCTACACAGCTAGTCTATTTATCAGCATTGGGTGACAAGCACGTAACTATTTACACTAAATGGAAAAAAAGTCCGGTACTTGTCCGTGTTTGTCTAGAACAAACATATGCGATAAAGCACTTGAGTGTACTGTACGCCGATAAAGGTTCTACATCTCCATGTCTCGATACCTCCTTTACACGAAACTGTCCCCACCCTTCTGTACACCGCTTACGTCTATTTCTTAAAGTGGCAAGAACATGTTATTTTGAATCACAATACAAACAATAATACACTACCAGGTGTTCCATGTGTAGATCTGTTCAGAGACGTCTCTGATCTGTTCATTATGGATATGTATATGTATACATTGATATAATGGCCATTGCTAGAGTTACATGGACATGACTATGTATCCAGTTAGAAGGTTGTTGTGCCACGTCGTAAGTGTTTACAGTTTAGCTTTAATTCGTAGACACACAGATCAATTACTACCGTACATTTACATTAACATGATTAGTGGTTACTATACATGTAATGTATAACGACAGTCGCCGACTAGCTGAACAAGAAATCACGAGTCGTCCACCTATTTATAGATTACTGCGGGACTAATCAAACGCACACATTTCCTTAAGGAATGATTTTTATTTTTTCAACATTTATGAGGTCATAACAACAATGGGTTTATGGACATATTGAATGAATCGCGTTAGCGATTCATGTAAAATATGTCCAAAAACCCATTGTTGTTATGACCTCATAAATGTTGAAAAAATAAATATCATTCCTTATATTTACATTGACGAATCCTTTCAGTGGATCGATATAACAACGAATAAAACAAATAAACAGGGTTTGTTCCTGCTTATACACGGGTGCAACGCAGTGGCGAGAACAGTGTTTTTTCGCGGGGAAATGTGACACTATCGTGAGAGATCTTAGCAACCGTCAACAACAATAACACAACAAAATGTAGTTCCATATTCAATGTTTATTTGTAGCACAGGACACGTGAATACGTGGATATTTCACAAAGCACAGTTCAATAATATTTTAAGATGTAAGAATTAAGCATCTAGGTCGGTCGTTCCGAGTGAGTAGTTTTTGTAGTGTATTACTACGCAGTGTGATCAGGTTACTATCAGTTCCCACGTGCTGAGATTCTATGAACACCTGTGTTATGCATTTATGAATGTAATTTTTGTCAATGGGTCTAAGCATACAGAATGTAAATATTTTTCAATAAAACTGAAATAGTCTATAAAGCTATTGCATAAAATCAGCATAATAAAACCTTTAAGTGTTCTCAATATTTTTAATAATTATATTTTCGGGAAGGCCAAATATCTCACACAATGTTTGAGCGCGTAGACAATGTATCTAGTACAATATCTTTAACCATAATATGTGTGGGTTGACAATGTATAACAGACAATATCTTAAATTATAAAATTTACGTGAAGACTATGTATCTCACACAATATCTTTAATCATTATATGTGTTTACAGACTTTGTACCTCACACAAAATCTTTAATACCTACATTGTATATGTGTTTACAGACTTTGTACCTCACACAATAACTTTAATACCTACATTGTATATGTGTTTACAGACTTTGTACCTCACACAATATCTTTAATACCTACATTGTATATGTGTTTACAGACTTTGTACCTCACACAATATCTTTAATACCTACATTGTATATGTGTTTACAGACTTTGTACCTCACACAATATCTTTAATACCTACATTGTATATGTGTTTACAGACTTTGTACCTCACACAATATCTTTAATACCTACATTGTATATGTGTTTACAGACTTTGTACCTCACACAATATCTTTAATACCTACATTGTATATGTGTTTACAGACTTTGTACCTCACACAATATCTTTAATACCTACATTGTATATGTGTTTACAGACTTTGTACCTCACACAATATCTTTAATACCTACATTGTATATGTGTTTACAGACTTTGTACCTCACACAATATCTTTAATACCTACATTGTATATGTGTTTACAGACTTTGTACCTCACACAATATCTTTAATACCTACATTGTATATGTGTTTACAGACTTTGTACCTCACACAATATCTTTAATACCTACATTGTATATGTGTTTACAGACTTTGTACCTCACACAATATCTTTAATACCTACATTGTATATGTGTTTACAGACTTTGTACCTCACACAATATCTTTAATACCTACATTGTATATGTGTTTACAGACTTTGTACCTCACACAATATCTTTAATACCTACATTGTATATGTGTTTACAGACTTTGTACCTCACACAATATCTTTAATACCTACATTGTATATGTGTTTACAGACTTTGTACCTCACACAATATCTTTAATACCTACATTGTATATGTGTTTACAGACTTTGTACCTCACACAATATCTTTAATACCTACATTGTATATGTGTTTACAGACTTTGTACCTCACACAATATCTTTAATACCTACATTGTATATGTGTTTACAGACTTTGTACCTCACACAATATCTTTAATACCTACATTGTATATGTGTTTACAGACTTTGTACCTCACACAATATCTTTAATACCTACATTGTATATGTGTTTACAGACTTTGTACCTCACACAATATCTTTAATACCTACATTGTATATGTGTTTACAGACTTTGTACCTCACACAATATCTTTAATACCTACATTGTATATGTGTTTACAGACTTTGTACCTCACACAATATCTTTAATACCTACATTGTATATGTGTTTACAGACTTTGTACCTCACACAATATCTTTAATACCTACATTGTATATGTGTTTACAGACTTTGTACCTCACACAATATCTTTAATACCTACATTGTATATGTGTTTACAGACTTTGTACCTCACACAATATCTTTAATACCTACATTGTATATGTGTTTACAGACTTTGTACCTCACACAATATCTTTAATACCTACATTGTATATGTGTTTACAGACTTTGTACCTCACACAATATCTTTAATACCTACATTGTATATGTGTTTACAGACTTTGTACCTCACACAATATCTTTAATACCTACATTGTATATGTGTTTACAGACTTTGTACCTCACACAATATCTTTAATACCTACATTGTATATGTGTTTACAGACTTTGTACCTCACACAATATCTTTAATACCTACATTGTATATGTGTTTACAGACTTTGTACCTCACACAATATCTTTAATACCTACATTGTATATGTGTTTACAGACTTTGTACCTCACACAATATCTTTAATACCTACATTGTATATGTGTTTACAGACTTTGTACCTCACACAATATCTTTAATACCTACATTGTATATGTGTTTACAGACTTTGTACCTCACACAATATCTTTAATACCTACATTGTATATGTGTTTACAGACTTTGTACCTCACACAATATCTTTAATACCTACATTGTATATGTGTTTACAGACTTTGTACCTCACACAATATCTTTAATACCTACATTGTATATGTGTTTACAGACTTTGTACCTCACACAATATCTTTAATACCTACATTGTATATGTGTTTACAGACTTTGTACCTCACACAATATCTTTAATACCTACATTGTATATGTGTTTACAGACTTTGTACCTCACACAATATCTTTAATACCTACATTGTATATGTGTTTACAGACTTTGTACCTCACACAATATCTTTAATACCTACATTGTATATGTGTTTACAGACTTTGTACCTCACACAATATCTTTAATACCTACATTGTATATGTGTTTACAGACTTTGTACCTCACACAATATCTTTAATACCTACATTGTATATGTGTTTACAGACTTTGTACCTCACACAATATCTTTAATACCTACATTGTATATGTGTTTACAGACTTTGTACCTCACACAATATCTTTAATACCTACATTGTATATGTGTTTACAGACTTTGTACCTCACACAATATCTTTAATACCTACATTGTATATGTGTTTACAGACTTTGTACCTCACACAATATCTTTAATACCTACATTGTATATGTGTTTACAGACTTTGTACCTCACACAATATCTTTAATACCTACATTGTATATGTGTTTACAGACTTTGTACCTCACACAATATCTTTAATACCTACATTGTATATGTGTTTACAGACTTTGTACCTCACACAATATCTTTAATACCTACATTGTATATGTGTTTACAGACTTTGTACCTCACACAATATCTTTAATACCTACATTGTATATGTGTTTACAGACTTTGTACCTCACACAATATCTTTAATACCTACATTGTATATGTGTTTACAGACTTTGTACCTCACACAATATCTTTAATACCTACATTGTATATGTGTTTACAGACTTTGTACCTCACACAATATCTTTAATACCTACATTGTATATGTGTTTACAGACTTTGTACCTCACACAATATCTTTAATACCTACATTGTATATGTGTTTACAGACTTTGTACCTCACACAATATCTTTAATACCTACATTGTATATGTGTTTACAGACTTTGTACCTCACACAATATCTTTAATACCTACATTGTATATGTGTTTACAGACTTTGTACCTCACACAATATCTTTAATACCTACATTGTATATGTGTTTACAGACTTTGTACCTCACACAATATCTTTAATACCTACATTGTATATGTGTTTACAGACTTTGTACCTCACACAATATCTTTAATACCTACATTGTATATGTGTTTACAGACTTTGTACCTCACACAATATCTTTAATACCTACATTGTATATGTGTTTACAGACTTTGTACCTCACACAATATCTTTAATACCTACATTGTATATGTGTTTACAGACTTTGTACCTCACACAATATCTTTAATACCTACATTGTATATGTGTTTACAGACTTTGTACCTCACACAATATCTTTAATACCTACATTGTATATGTGTTTACAGACTTTGTACCTCACACAATATCTTTAATACCTACATTGTATATGTGTTTACAGACTTTGTACCTCACACAATAT